TTAAGTAACATTTAACTTAATAAAACTATAATACTGATACTTTTAATAAATAATATTATGGTTATTTTTAACAAACATAAGCCATAACTTCTAATTATGTTAAGAAATATTTTATGTAACAAACTGTTTACTACATCATGCAAGTACTTTCCCTCATCATGTTAACATGAAATAATGAAACTACATGAACCCCCACTTGTTATCTTCCAGCAGTGAAAGTTTTTGGTATATGAGTGTACAAAAGATTATAATTTGCATGCGTATTCCAAACTTTAAGCTCTTTACTTCTAAATTCAGTTGTGGGAGGTGAAATAAAATTTAGATATGTGTTTAAATATTATGGTTTTGGAATTTTTGAGAACATCTAGCAAATTTAAATATCAGAAGTAAGGATAACTGGAATACAATTATCAGTAATAAAAAATGATAATTACACTTTTATTCTTCCTTCTTCAGCCTAATGATAATATTTACCTACCAGTCAGTTCTAACAGTGAAACAACTAGTGTCTGGTTAGTTGAATTTGTGCAATCATAATCATATAACCAAAAAAGTTAGAAAAACATTTTGCTGAAATAAAATTGGATATTAGCTTTTACATCAGCACTTGTGTTGAATGAAGGACAAGTTATTGATATTTAATTATCTTTATAACCTCTAACTTTCCTTCCTAGCTCATTTTTTTCTAAAATGAATTTAATGAAATTGCTATCTCAAGAAAATATAACAGCAGTTAAATGAAAACAAAAGCAAAATATAAAAAAAAGCTTTGAAAATCTATTCCAATTTTTGTACTTCCATTATACATGTATATAGTAAAAAAAAGTATACATTTAAAAACAACAAGCTTTAAAAAAAATATATATATATAACGAGTGTTTCACCAATAACTAAAGATTATATAGCACAATACTTTATTCTTGCAAAATCTAATTTAGAAAACTTTTTTTTAATTATAAATCTTACAAATCAATCATCATCTGCCCTACAAGCCTAACTCATGTTTTTGCTGCTCAAATTGCTTTCTAAACTTTCAAGGTTCCAGTAATCAAGCCACACCCATCACATGGCATCAAACCTTCCCTCTCGTGAAACCATGAGACCAAAAAGGCCTTATATGATATTTTAGGTTAATCCAAGCTGTTAGTAAAAAAATCATTAAAATGAGATGATTAAATTAGACAAATCATTTCAAATATTAAGCAGAGTAAACAGTGAATCCAATTTAGTTTTTTTTACAATATGAATATTTTTTGATTGCTGCTTTTATACCTTATCTATTTATCATCAACCTTAGAGAAAGAATCGCTCTAAAACTGAATATATTTATTACTGATGATTATTTGGAACATCTTTTTCCATGATCAATCATGCTCAGTCTGATGGCCATGACTATTCACTGTTCCCAAACACAGCACATTTAAGCATCAAGAGACTATATATGTAGTAAAATGTGAATGTTGTGATGCCAGTTTTTCAGCCACCTTTTTCATGAAAATACCCATTTATTTTCAGGTATAGCTAGAAACTTTTATCCTTTTGAGCCTCCATCAGTTTCAAATCATTGTTTATCATTCATTGGCCTACTACTATTAACATCATTCTTATATGGTGATGTTTAGCTAACTAGAGCAGCTGTAATAAGACTGGAACATAGTGCATTCTGAACTTCATCTTCATACACAAACAGTAAGATACTATTGCAAAATCAAATTTTGAAACATTGGTTTTATCATTCGTTTTATCTGTCTCAAATTTACCTGATTGAATACATTTATAATGCGCATGTTCCTGAACCTTTGATAAACATTTCAATTTGATATTTCAGTTCTACAATACACACTTTCATAGCCCCTATCTTCAGTCTACTCGTTTCAGTCTTTACCTAAGTTTCCAATAAACAGTTTCTACATCATTTCACTGAATCAAAGAAAATAATTTCTTTCCATCCTTGCATTTATTGCAAAACTGAAGCCAACACTTAAATGTGAAATCAACACTGTCACCCAAAACAAACTTAATTTTTAGATGGAGTAGTTTGAACATGAAGTATTCACTGGTCCTGGTCAGAATGATGAACTTACAATTTGGAAGAGTGGGGAAATGTTTAGGTTCCCAAATTATTATATTGTCATCTTTTTACAGGAAACACACATGAGATTTTCAAATTGTTTAACTCAGATGTTTCGGTAGGATTAAGTACAGCCTGTAAATTTGTTATTGCTAAAACATCAACCAGCTTATCAAACACAAGTAAACTGTGTCAGGTTTCATATCTTTAACAAGCCTCTTTGTTTCATCTGGAAATCCTGGTTTTTATATACCAAAAGTGTTTGCATCCATTTTCTTTATTATGGCAAGTCCAACATGCTTTGCCAACCCTGGAATTATAGCCCATTGTTTTAATAGTAGTCACAAGATTTGTATTGTCAGTCTTTCTTTAAGGCTTTTTGTATGACTGCAGTCTTGAAACCTGTGCTGGACATTTTTACTTTCAGTGGCCCAGTGATAATTCTTATTCTTTATCTCCATTCTCTGAAACTTGCAGTTCAGCAGTTATTTGATTATAAAGGTCCTACACTTCTGGGCTCATAGCTTGAACAAACTTTCCTGTTCCAAATAGCTTCAATTCTTTTACATTTCTTAGCCTTATAATTAGGTTCAGCAAGTCACACTTCATCCTTTTCCAAATAGCTTCAATTCTTTTACTTTCTTAGCCTTATAATCAGGTCCAGCAAGTCACACTTCATCCTTTTCCAAATAGCTTCAATTCTTTTACTTTTCTTAGCCTTATAATCAGGTCCAGCAAGTCACACTTCATCCTTTTCCAAATAGCTTCAATTCTTTTACTTTTCTT